TTTCTACTCTAGCATGGAAATCACACAGTAAATTTAAAAAAAAATGTATACAATCGCTAAGTAGCTCTAAGTGCACTAGGAGGAAAACTGAACGGTCAAAGGAAGTGCTAGAGAGGAGCGGCTCTATTTTAGGGAGCGTGATAAAATCCTCTCAGATGAAGTTTGAGAAGAAACTTACGCACACTGATATTTGGTGGGAGATGCTCCTAACTGAGGGCACTTTGCACAGGACTGAATATCCTACCAAAGGCATAACCTTGGGAGCGGGTGATGATACTGTGCTTTAGATTTTTCTAAGAGGTCTGATGAGAAAGTTAGCCCTATTCAAAAGGGGTAAAGGCACATAACTCAAAAAGAGAGAACAACTCTTTTCAAAAGCACAATGGACATCTAGATACTCTAGTATTTCTTTTTAAATCACTGCAAAAAGAATCCAAAATGGATAAGAAAACCATCATTCTTTTATAGAGCTCCGTGCTGAATGACCATGACAAGTGCCAGGAGCCTGGTGGCACACTGATTACAGATGAACATGGGGTCCACCCTGACAGATTGGAAGCCAGGCCCACCACTTACTGGTTGTGTGTGTGTGTGTGTGTGTATTTAAGCATTTTTAAGTTTGTTTTACTCATTTCCACAGTGAACATGATGACCCTTCTGCACAGAGTCATAAGGATGCAATGAATGAGATGAATCATTTGTTGTGTAGACTGCACTACCAGGTTCTCATTAGGGAGGCAAAATGTGCTATTTATGATATATTAATATAAGTTTGCAAGACATGGAATAAAATTTATACAAGTGTGTTAGTTAATAAAAACTTTACTTCATATCATAGCTTTAGAAGACCTCGTCATCTTGGATGGTTTCTCTTAAGCTTAGAGAACAGCTTCTTATCATTATAAGTTTGATATTTTGGGTGCTTCATTTGCTGAAATAAGTTAAAAGGCCACAACTACCTGGAGTCCATGAACGCCCACCATTGCGCTAATAGTAACGGCTGGGCACCGAGGGAGAGAGACCTCACTATCTTTTGAAACCCAGGACAAGGTTTTTCTGCTTGCAAACCATGAAAAGGCATTTTGCCCAGGACAAGTAAAATTTATTTAACAGAGAGGAGTTCCTTCCTCTCTCCTCAGATCCTCAGTGACTGCCTCGGTTCAAATCACAAAGGTGCACTAAGAATGAAGAATGACAAGCGTGCTTTCCTAGAGAGGCTGCAAATGACAAAAGGAAATGAATGGCTTAGGGGAGGGAGCCCAGTACAAAGGAAGACACTGCCATTCCTGTAGCACTCAATCACACATGCCACTAACAGGATGCGGGCGTCACCCGGGGACCAGAGGCGTCCAGGTTCAAAGCCTAGCGGAGGCAAGGTCCTGGGCACAACACAAGCTTATTCATCATCCTGATGTCTAGAATGAAAGGGGATCGGCTGGACCATAAAAGGCTGATGTCGCTGCCAATTTCACTCACGTTCAAGCTGCTAACATGGTCATGATCAAATTGCCTGCTTTATGGCGTGGGTGGAACAGATCTTGGTACTTTAGAGATTGGAAAACGGTGAAGCAACAAGCACTTCTGCTAAGAACGGTTGGGGAAGTGACTGAGAGGCTCTGCCAGCACAGGTAGCAATAGTGCCAACCACTGTTGGACTGTGCCTGTTCAACAGGCACACACGCAGGCTGTCATTACACTGAGCATCTTACTGTTTCCACGGAAGTCTCTGAGGTCGGTGCCGGGATCACCTTCCGTTTTATAGAAGCTGTGATTCTGTGAAGGTTGCTTAGCATCACGCAGTCAGAATAAAGATAGAGACTAATTTCAAACAGCTTCCAATTTTCCTCTCCCATTGGGGTAATTTGGGAATTCAGACAAAATAAGAAAATTTAAGAATCAGATAGAGAAAAAGAGAAAATGCAGACATAAACAAGTTTGGAAGTTTTCATCTTTCTTAATTAGAAAGTGATGCCCCCATGATATTTTGCCTTCATAAGAGAAATGTTGTCTTGTAGAAATATGGCTTTTGATTTTAAGTAGGAAGACCTGGTGTCCCCTAATTCGTGGTCAAGATCCATTTTGTTCTGTGACAACTGTCAGCTCTGCATCATGAAATTCCTGATGAAAACTGTCTGACCTGAGATGTCTCCTTTCAACATTAAAGTCTGAAAGGTATGTACAGATTAAAAAAATAGTAAAATGCTAATTATTAATAAATGTAAATATAAATTTCTCTTTAGAAAGAGAATGTACAAAAAAGTAGAAACAACCAGAAATTAAACAGTGAGTCAGTGAAGATTTTGATATCAGAAGCAGCAACAAAGGAAAATAAAGAGTATGAGCTGACTAAAGCAAGTCACAATTAACAGCAAGTCACAATGTCTGGGTTCCCTTTCAAGCTTACTCCTTGACCATCACAGAATGGAATAATTTGTGTGCCTGTGCAGAATTCTCCTGATGTCCCTGTCATGGGGGTCACAGCAGCTACTGTACAAGCAAAGGAAAGTGTGATGAAGGACTCAGTAAAGTGTAGTGAGTAGATCATATGGTAGTCACCCTGAGGTCAATCTGTCCACACCATGTTTTCACATCAGGGATCTGGGCCACACTTCCTTCTTCTTTGATATTTTGCCCATTAGACTATAAGTTTGTCTTAGAGAAAGGAATTATAGAACTTAACAATGCCTTCACCACAGAAATCGCACCAAAGGGGAACAGGACTGACCCAGTAACATAGTTACTTGGTGACTTTGCTGTAAATCCTGCAAACTGTAGAGGTAAAGAACTCTTACCCCAGAGTTTTCACCAAGATTTCATAATGCAGAGCTAATGAGTGTCACTCAGACCTAGTGAACATTGACCATAATTTAGAGGACACAAGGTCTTATTTAAAAGTGAAAGAGATATTTCTAGATGATAACATTTTTACAGTGAAGCACAATTTCATGAGGACATCAGTTTTCAATTAAGAAAACCAGAAACTTCCAAACTTTCCCATGTGTCCATTTTCTCTTTTTATATTTTTCTTTGTGCTTGGAGTCATGTTTACTGATAAACAAAGGAGGTACTGATAGATGAACTTGTATATGTTTTTAACCCAGTCATTAAGGTGCAATTAGGGATAGATGGGGGCAGGTTTTAGATAGACAATTTTGACTTTAGTCACCCTCCAAAATGTAACTGAAGAAAGTAGTAAAAAGTAGCTGAGAAATCAAACATAAAAATCATATAATTAATAAACAAGAGCCAATAGAAATGAATGGCTATGAATTAAAAATTCCACACAGGAGTACAGGTTGAGAATCCCTTATCTAAAATGCTTGGTACCAGAAATACTTTGGATTATAGTGTTTTTGAGGTGTTGGAGTATTTGCACATACATAATGAGATATCTTGAGGATGAGAACTAACTATTAAATACAGAATTCATTAATCATACATACTTTATACACATAGGCTGAAGAGAATTTATGCAACAATTTAAATAGCTCTATGCATTTTTCATGGTGTGTGTGGAATTTGCCACTTGTGGTGTCATATCATCACTCAAAAAGGTTTTGGATTTTGCAACAGTTTGGATTTTGGGGTAAGCATGCTTTACCTGCAGCATCGCACCCCCAGTATTTGCAGCACCATGGGATAGCGAGATGCCTGACCAGCAGAGAGACCCACACCTGTGTGGCTTCACAAAGATCTGGGTTAAATATTAAGAAGTGTTGGGTTCAACTCCTCAACTTAGAAACACAAATCCTGACATAGTTTACAAAGCGATGAATAGGAAGAGCCCAAAGAGCAAAGGTGTTTGATAGAATGAGTTGCACAGCACTGGGTGCTCCAAAAGTCAGAGTGTCTGTAAGCACTAACAGGTTAAGCACTGTGCTTTGTACTTTTTGTTGGCTTCCCATTAGCTTTGTCATAACTATTTTCTACATACTGAGAAATCCCCATTTGATAGTTAAGAACTTTGAGGAAAAAAGATTAGGAAATCTATCCAAAGTTACTCAGTCTTAAGTGGCTCAAGAGTGAAAGAAACTCATGTGGGCTAGACCAGCAAACTGAGCTGTAAGTCTTTTGGGTGTTTGACTAGTGAGCAGGACATGTCTGTGAGTCTTAGAAAAGCATCTCTTTTCTTTTTTAACAGATTTAGTCCAAATTTATTTTAGTTCTTTATAATCTGCAGAAGATTGGATGCAGAAGCTTTTGTGGATACCAAAATCTAAGGAGGTTCAAGTCCCTTCTATAAAATAAAACAGAACAGTATTTGCATATAACCCATGCACATTCCTCCTCACACTGTAATTCATCTCTAGATTACTTATAATATATAAGAATGCAAATTCTATGTACATAGCTGTAATACTGTATTATTTAGGGGATAATGACAAGGAAAATATCTTCTTTCAAATAATTTCAGTGTGTGATATAGAACCCCAAATACAGGGACAACTGTATATTTTAAATGTAATTATGAGTTTACTTACATAATCTTCTATACACTGAAATACTTGTACCTAAAAACCAAACCACTAAAGCAAATGTTAAAAGTCAGTGACAGAGGCACTGGGATGACAGTCATGTATTGACTCTAGTCTTTTCTCTTTTATAAGTTGCTAACTTATAAAGTAAATGTGGACCAATCATTTGTCTTCAATAAAACTGAAGTCTGGGCTGAAGGTATGGATCAAGTGGTAGAACACATGCATAGCAAGTACAAGGCCCTGAGTTCAAACCTCAGTACAGCCAACCTCCCCCCCAAAAAAACCTGAAGCTTAATCACGTCCAAAGTTACATTAAATGCTGGAATGTAATGACCCAGACAAATATTTTCAATGTATCTGTAACAGAAGGGTATCATTCATAGTGACTTGTGTTGAGTATCACCAGTTACTCTGACCTGCCATTCCCATATATCCCTTGTGCACATATATTTATGGTTCTCTCTTATCTTTCAAGTGAACATTAAATAAATAGATGGCAAGAGGCTTGCAAACGACACATACTATTTTCTTATCATAGGACTCTCCACTGCTGTAGGTTGTGGCCAGTGTAGACGAACACTCTTCCAGGTACCAAGGTTTCTTTCCACTTTCTGCTGTGCTGCTGATGGAGATGGTGTAGATGCTGTTGGTGTAGCCATCACAAGAGCAGTGGTCTTTGCTCCTTCCACCATTACCAGATGCCCAGACAAACACAGAGCCAAGGCCTCTCCGCCCCTGTTCACAAAGAGAGAAAGTTAAATGACACTGTGGGAAGGCAGGAATAATAAACTATAGATGAAAAGATCAGGAACGACAGGAAAATCAAATGTTTGCAGGATGAGAATGATGTTATTTTAACAAAATGCTGGATGTAAGCTGCCTTTAGGGGAAGGGTGGAAGAAGCTGCTTCAATAAACTAAAATAGCCAGAGGGGTACCAGCAGCACCAAAATGCTAAATGCTGAGCAAAATGCTAAATGCTGTACATGAATTGGATTAAATTCTACCCTGTGAGATCAGTACAATTTTTGTTCTCATTGTGCAAATAAGGAATTGTGGTATAAAAGTTAAATAATCTTCCAAAAGTAATACAGAATAGGGCCAAATTTGAATCCAGGCAGCCAGATCCCAGAGTTGGAATGTTATTAGTTATAACCACCATAATCATAAGAGCCTACCTCTCTCATGCATGGTGCAGGAGAGTAACCCTAGTTACTGAGGAATGTTAATGATACTATCATAATGAAAGAGGTTCAAGATCATATATGTTTGGGAATCCTCAGGTTAAACAAAACTAAGTTCCTCTAAAGGAACTTTTAAAACCTCTAAAGTCCTTTAATAAGTGAATGCTCATTGCAAAACTTAAGAATGGGGTATAGTTTTATGTGATTTCCAAACACACTTGGCCATAGATTTTTTTTTCAACCAGATCCATTCATCTTTTCTTATAATGCTAGGGGATAGATTCACAGCTTTACTCCAAGCCTTAAGACTTTCTTAAGATCCTAAATAATTAATAGACAAAAGAAAAGAAAGAGATAAATCAGTGAAGTAAAGCATCTCTTTTCTTCTATAAGGTAAGATTTCAGGAGAAAGTGGAGAAATAAGCCAAAACAAATAGTAGTTAGTAACTGAGTACCTAAGATTTAAAAAAATCATTTTAAAGCTAGAAGGCACATTGCAGGACATTTAGGCTGAATCCATCATTTTCTAGTTAGGATGTGAGAACCAAAGTCAACATAGCTGGTTGAGCCCCTTTCTTCCCCCAAGTCCCTGACTTTAGGGTCACAGGTGGAAGAAAAGTATTCAAGATGTCTTGGCACTTCTGGAAAAAGAGCAAAAGCAAAACAGCTGACAAAGAATTCATGATAAAACTCTTCCTGACCTTGAATCCTCAGGAACAGAATATTTATGACATGATTTGAGTAACCTAAACATAGATTTCTTTTTGTCCTTCAATTTAGAAAATTGCCAATAGGACTACAGGAATGAAAACAATTCATGCAGACAGAGAGAGGGATAAGCTTCCATTTCCTGCTGCTGCTAGACAGCTGGGTTTGCTTTATTGTTCCTCATTCTGCCATCACAATATTCATGAAACCAAGGGAAGGCTGAAAAAATCACCACAGCATCAGAAACTAAGAATCTAGTCAATGTTTTGTCAATCTCCAGCAGGAATCATGCCACACCTTTGTGTGGGGAGTCAGACTGGGACTTACATCTGGATCTCAGTGACAAAACAACTTAGAGTAGAAAGAAGAATGTTCCAATTCATTATGAGTTTGGTGTCTCTTTCAGACACTGAGGGGCTGTGTTGCAAGTTAAAACCACAGTCACACTGAGCCTTACCTGGCCAGGTCAACAGAACACAGGGATGGCAAAAAACCTACCTAGTTTAATTGGCTCCATAACAGATAAAGAATCACAAAGCAACCAAAACCCACATATTTATTTATCTATGTAAATTTTTGACTGGGTACCTATGTATAAAATTTTATTAAAATATTTTAAAAGGTGATCTTAAATAATATTTAATAAGAAAATACTCAAAAAGTACTTTTTGTGTTCACGATGTGGTTACAAATGTTAGGATACAAAAAGATGGTCTTAATTAAAAGATGCCTCTGTGTGTGTGTGTGTGTGTGTGTGTGTGCCCATTCAGAAGTCCACCTGCATAATTAGGCTATCTTACAGAGACAATGTATCAGTATACCGGAAGTTTCCTTTTTGGTAAGATTAGCATTTTTATTTTCTTCTTTATACCAAGTTTCCATAATTCATGGAGACAAACACATCAAATTCCTCTCTCAGGAGGGAAAGCATAGTGCTAATTCTTAAGAGTTTGTGTGTATGGTACCGAAGTTTGAACTCAGGACTTTGGGCCTGCTAGTAGGCAGGTGCTTTGCCACTTGATCTATATCTCCAGTCCTTTCTTCTCTGGTCCAGGCTGGCCTGGACCACAATCCTATTTTATGCTTCTTGTGGTAGCTATGATGACAGGTGTATGCCACCTCACCCAGCTATTGGTTGAGATGGGGTCTCCAAACTTTTTGCTCTCGATGACCTTAAACTATGATTGCCTCCCAAGTAGCTAGGATTACAGACTTGAGCCACCAGAGCCTGGCTCTTAAGAAAGAGTTAGTTTGCATCATGACCAACAGGGGTTTTACCCACAGTAGTTCCACTGCATATATTGGCCAACGTTTCTAGAAACCCACTTTGTGCCAAGCACTGTGCAAACATTATTCTGCACAACTCCAGTCTACATAATCATCATTTTAGAGAAGAACAAAATGTCTCAAAAATGCTTATTAAAGCCACAACTAGACATTGAAATCTGACAACAACCAAAGTCTGAGCCATTAACCCTCACAATAGACTTCTTTTGGGCAAAAAGAGGACTGGTGTATATTTTACTGTTTTCAGTCAAATCTTCTGTGCCTTAATTGAAGCTTGGCATTAGCATTTAAGAGCAGATCAGCCCCATGTTTTTTCCAGACACGGTGGCAGAAATAGGGCTGAGAAAGAAAGCATGAGTGGTGGCTTACCATGAGCATCGCTGGGTAGGGCATGGGTTTGGACCCATAATTCCCTGGGAAATCACAACTCTAGTGTGATTCCCTCAGAAGTATAAATACTGGTCCTTTTATTCTGGCAACATCCAGACAACATCACTTTGGAGGAATAACGACACTGCTAAATGTCTGTTGGGGATTCAGTGGGTTGAGAAGTGAGGATGATGGCTGGGTACTGCCTGAAAATGTCCCTTCCAGACAGAGATGGCATCTCTGTATTAAATAGATAATTTGAGAGAATTATTTTCTAAGTGAGCATGGAAACCCCAAAGAACAGAATGGGTTCACTAACCATCCCAATGTCCTAAGAGACATTGAGTCTCTTGAGGAGAGGTTGTCACTAGGACTGGAGACAGAGGCCTACCAGGACTTGGTGGGGAACCTGCCAACCCATGTTAGTCCTGCAGGGAGGTGGACAGGTGCAGACACTGAGACTCCACCTCTTCCTTCTTCCATACCAATTTCTTGCCAGACGCAGTGGAGACCGGGAGGGGGAGGTCCATAGACAGAGGCCATAGATGTCAGCGCTCCAGAACATGGAGCTTGTAGAATGAAGGGAGAGACGACTGAAGAGTTAAGGAAAAATAACTGGTACAGTCCTTTTGGTGTTGCTGTACACTAAACTGTGTTCTCCAAACTCCTTATGTGGAAGCCCTACAGCCCAATGTGACTGCATTTCTAGACAGGCTTTTGATGAGGTAATTGAGGTTAAATGAAGTAACTGATGTCATCAATGTGGGACTTGATAGGCTTGTGTTCTTATAAAAAGGAGAAGAGATACCAGTGCTCCTTCTCTTCCTCCCTCACCTCCTCCCTTCTTTCTCTGTGTCTGTACCCCTCCCTCCCACTCAGTGTGGACACCGAGAAAGGACCAAGTAAGGACAAGGTGGTTATCAGCAAGCAAAGGACAGAAAACTTCACCAGAACTCGGTTCTACTGGTACTTTGAGCATGGACTTGCAGCCTTCCAGACTCTAAGACTCAGAGAAAATACATTTCTACTACTTGGGCCACTCACTGGCTATTTTGTTCAGGCAGCTCCAGCTGGCTGATACAAGGAGAGAGGAGATGAACAGTGAGCTGCTGTCATGAGGGCTACAGAATACGGGAACACTGCCATCATACTATCCATGAGGCAATCCCACCTTTATGCCTGTGTGTGTGGTTTATGATCAACATCCCAGGAAAAAAATGGACTGAATTCACGGGCTGAAAATACCATAAAGGCAGCTGCTAAAGACCTACAGGGTTAATGTGGAACAATTAGCAATTCATAGATCTATTTACTGTGATACACAGGGGGTTTTCATTAGTGAGAAATAGCCACAAAGCAAAACATACATGGTAAAAAAAAAATCTGGACATTTCTCCGAAGTTCAGAGTAACTTAAAAATTAAGCCTCAACTATGGATGCAGGAAGAAGGAAAGGTGGGCAGAATATCATAAAGAGAAAAGAATCTTGATACATGTTTTTCCTGAAGTGTAGGAAATAATGACACTTTCTAGTTTAGTGAAGAACTGTGATTGTAATTGGCTACCTAAATATGGTTTTGTATGGAAAAAATCCCATATGATTTAATTGATTTAAAAAATTAATAAACTTAAGGCAAAATATATTGTGAAATCCATGCAGGATCCATTCAACCAAACACAAGTCTTTTTTTCACTGTATGTCTAAATGTAGATGTATTTTTTGGTGTGCCATACAAAAATCAATATATATATAAAACCCCATAAGTATTATTATTAAGGATAGAAAAGGAACTGGGCTTTCTTGTGGCTCAAGAGGTCAGAGAAGGCCTCTTTGTGCCAGGTTACCAATTAAGTCATATACCCAAGCCAGGTTTTGAACGTATTAGAGTGTGGTAGAATTAAATATCCCTTGTTAAAGTGGTATGGTCACTTTATAGCCAATGAAGTTAGGTTTTACTTGGTATTTTAATGTTCTTTTCCTTTCTAATATTGTTTAGCAAGTCTTTTTTTTTTATTTCTTTTATTCATACGTGCATACAATGTTTGGGTCATTTCTCCCCCCTCCCCCCTTTCCCCACCTACCCCCTCACTACCAGGCAGAAACTATTTTGCCCTTATCTCTAATTTTGTTGAAGAGAGAGTATAAGCAATAATAGGAAGGAACAAGGGTTTTTGCTAGTTGAGATAAG